CGGAGAGGCTTGATGGCGCACACGTATCCAGTGAGGAAGGCAAACATGGTGACACCGATACGGCCTTGAAAAGGTAAACGGATAAAAGGTAGTTGGAGCAGTTGAGGTGCTGCGTTCTCGCTGTCGCGCGGCGACCAGAGGCTGTAGTCCCAAGCTCGGCACAAGTGTGTTACCACGACCCAGAAGGAAGCGACGCCACGAACACCCTGCATATGTCAGAAACACGACACGGAGGGAAGAGGGGGGGAGTAGAGTTTGAGAACATACCTCTACCCAAGTAACATTTTGGCGGTTGCTGGAAGCCATCTTGCCTGGACCAGCGGCGGGCTCAAGGGGAGTCGCAAGGCTTGAGATGGTGGCGCGAGCGAGCGACAACGGGGCCTTTGTGATGAAAGACATGTGCATGCAGAGGGCGTGGGCAGTGTGGCGAGGGGGAATCGTAGCCCAAGGAAGAAATGGAGAAGGCCTGAGGAGGATGGTAAGGAAACGAGAGAAGAGAGTAAGGAAAAAAAGAGCGACTGGCGGCGACTATAGCAGCTGCATTGGAGTGGACTTGGGCCGACCAAGAAGGAAGTTAAACGCATCACCAGGGATGGAGCAAGTTCCCCCATGCGAAGACGGCTTCTCGGATGGGATTGCTTGGCGCGATATCGATCTGTCAAGCAGGAGCAACAACGGGATGGTCGTGTCATTGGCTGTGGGGCTGAAAGGAGAACAAGCGCCGGGCCTGCATGGGTGGCCGCGTCATAAAGGCTGGGCGTGAGAGCACGACGCCCCCACTGGTTTCAGGCAAGGAAGCCTTCTTGGCAGTCAGCAGCCGCATGTGGCGGTGTCTTTTGCTGCTGCACTACGCAGCAATAGAGTGGTAGCAACACACACACCTACACCTCTCCGCCGTGCCGAGTTCCGCGCAGTGCAATCTCCAGCAGCCCAGCAGCCCAGCCTCTCCCCGATGGCCGACCGGTCGCCCGGCCCGCCAAGCTCCGCCCGCCCTCATGACCGGGCGGCCTCTGCCATGGGAAATGTGTGTGGGTGTGTGTGTGCTGGTGGTGTGCATGGCGCCCAGTCCGGCATGTGGCGCGGAGACAACACGTTGAGCCACAGTCGCTGCTCGGGGGCGGGATCGTCCCAGTAGATTACACGCCAGCCGCTGTTTTATGTCCACCCAAGGCCGCGCAATATGGCCCCTGTGCCCGCCAGGCGACACATACTCCCTACACTATCTACTGTCCGCTGTCCAAGTACACACACGTACGCAGCCTTGACGCGTTACTGCAATGTCCCTAACAGCCTATCTGAAATGAGGCTCTGCAAACCTGCGGCTCTGCCATGCGTCTCCCTGCCGACTGCCAACTCCACCCAGCCAATCACCCCGGGGTCCTAGCGCCCCTGTCTTACGCCATCCCCGACCCCCTTCCCCATCCCACCATGGGGCTTTGGCCAACCCAACAATGCCATCCCTTACCTCTGGGACCCGTCCATCCACGAGTCTAAATTACTCTACACCCACAGGGCCTCGTAACGTCCTCTTGCCTAATCAACCGCCCGCTGATACCGATCCTCATTGGCCCCACGTCTGATGTCATTTGCCTTGCTTTGCTTTGATTTGCTTGCTTCTTCATGTTTGCTACTCTAGAGTACTTACGTGCATGCAGTAGGCATAGGTGCAGTGTACAGTACTTACATACAGTCGAGTACATGCTCTACGCCCAGGCTACAGCTGCATAACACATCCGCTAGTGATTCTTCTCAACAATCTCCTTGGCAAATGCTGCAAAGTCCCGCTTGTCGTCCACCTTCTCCCACAGGTTGGGCTGCGTAAACACCGCCAGTGTGTTCCTCGCAACCTTTCCACCTCCAGCTCCCGCTCCAGCGCCCCGCACAAAGTGAGGCACCGCTTTGAACTTGCCTTGGGTGATGATCTCGAGCGCCTCGCCAGTCTGGAAGGCTAGACAGTCGCGTGGGATGCTGACCTTGGTCACGGCACCCGTGCGCGAGTGAATGTAGAGGCCTGCCTTGGGGTCCGGCGATCGCTCAAGTTCTTCGAGGAGCGCGAAGGATGCGCCTGCTCGCGGCACATTTGCTCCTTCATCCACAAACATGGCCGACGTCAGCCCGGTTAGGCACCCATGGTCGAGATGCGTCGCACACCAGTCGTCCTCGTCGCCGTTCGAAATCTCCGAGCCAGATGCGGGGCTGGGGAAATAGTGCAGTAGCCGGGCTTTTGTGGAAACACTTGTCTTGACCACATGTTCGAGGTACCCCCTTTGGTACCCTTCAATGTTCGCTTCAGCATACTTGTCACATGCTCGCGCAACCAGCGCTGCAATGTCAATGATCAGCGTACACAGCTCGCGGAACGTCTCCTCGAAGCCTGGCAGCACTTCCTCCGATGGCCACACGTTGGGTGCTGTGTACTCTGGGAACGACGGGTATTTCTCGGCTACTGCCTTTTGTTGCTCTTCAAAGCCGGGCGCACAGTTGACATAGTATGAACCCTTTAGAGTGTCGTATTTGCCATCCTTAAGCGTCTCTTTCCCACATGACCATCCAACTAGCCACTTGGAAGCGGGCGATTCAAGCTTTGCTAAGACACGATCAGCTCGCTTGAAACTCAACCAGATACAGAGGGTCTATGCTCACCCAGTTCGTCCTGAGACAGGTTTCCAAGAGCAGATGCATACGAGAGCAGTCTGTGGCGCAGATCATGGAATCTCGACGGGAGATCCTTTACAACAATGATACCCAGACTCGCGGGGCCAAACGCTTCCTCGAGTAATGCAAACTCGACATCGTCTGCAATGCCAACATCAGCTTCGCCTGCCTACCACTGTGAACAATGCATCCACCACCCACTTACTGTTTTTGAGAGCATCCAGCCCGACAACGACAGCGCTCTGGTTTATGGCAGCATTAGCATTGGCCATGGCGATCACTTGCAGAAGAATACTTTGGTATTCGACAGTGACCATGTACTACGTCGTTGACTTTGACCCTTTATCGTCGTGTGGGTAGCGCACAAGTGGTGCAAGCCTAACCCAGAATCTCGACTTGGACCTGCCTGATTTGCGCCAGCCTCGGCCAACTCCGATCTCTCACCTCCGACGCCGCATCCTAATACCTCGACCCAAGACCACAAACATGCCAAAAGCACTCCACTTCAAGGGTGACAAGAAAGTCAAGAAGCGCAGAAAGGCGGCGGAGCCATACGATGCCGACAACGTCCACTCGAACCAAGTCACGCCCAGCGCCCCTGCAGAACCTGAGAATGACGACTCTTGGGTGAGCGCGGATGCGCCCAGCGACATCTCTGGACCCGTCCTCATAGTCCTTCCCACCGACAAGCCCACCTGCCTAGCATGCGACGCAAATGGCAAGGTGTTTGCTAGCGATCTGGAAAACATTGTCGAGGGCGACGCTGCAACAGCCGAACCGCATGATGTGCGTCAGGTGTTTGTCGCGACTCGCGTCGCAGGTACTGAGCAGCTAAGTTTGAAAGGCCACCATGGCAGGTAAGACGACAGAAACCCCCAGGCATTCTAGAATCTGGGCCCTTCCATGTACCAGTAATCGGCTCACTCGCTTTTCTAGATACCTTAGCTGCGACAAGTTCGGCGTCTTGAGTGCGACTGCAACGGCAATATCCCCAGAAGAAACCTTTCTCGCCATCCCCGTGCCTGACAATGCCTCTGCATTTTCGCTCCAAACCGCCCGCGACAAGTTTGTCAGCGCTCGCGACTCCAAGGCCGGGCCTGAGCTACGCGGCGATACGGAACATATTGATTTTACAACTACGCTGCGTATACGCATGCAGGCGCGGTTCAAGCCGCGCCTCAAGGCAAACAAGGAAGAAAAGGCAAATGTCAAGATTAGCCGCAAGGAACTGGAAGACCAAATCGGGCGCCGGTTGGATGATGCCGAAGTCAAGAAGTTACGGAGAGCAAGGGCCGAGGGAAACTTTTACGAGACAGCCTTAGACATGAAGGTCAAATCTAGCCACGATAAGTATGCCAGTATGTGAAGGGCAAAAACCCAGCCATACACTCTTTGTCAGACACTACTTTAACAAGAGAAAAAAAAAGAGGGACACACCATATCCCCCTCACGTCACTCGCAAGTTACTACTCTTAGCGTGTGTAAGGAACAGCGGGTGGAAGGCTCATGCGTCTATCCGTAACGCAACTACACCACATGGCCTGATCGGCAATCACAAACGACCCCAGGACCACATACCTTAGCTCCCCTCCTCCCGTGTCATTGCCTGGAAACAGTTTCAAAGTAATAAGCACACCCTCACGTTTTGTGTGTGCGTGTGTGTATATGCCTAGTCGCATCAATTCCCTAGGGTCCTAGCATTGACGCACGCACTGGGGTTGAAGGGGGTGGAGAAGCACATAAATTAAAATACGCTTGCATTCTTTTTTTCCCCATTAATGCGCAGTTTACCAGTTCGGTTCCCCTACAACTACTACTACTACTACTAAGCTTAAACGCAAAGCCTAGTGAACCCTAGCTTCGATCTAACGGTTTTTTTTCCTTATTTCTCTGACTCGCCCAAAGCCATGCGAAAAGCAACCGGTTTAGGCAAAGAGAAAAAAAAGGGCTAACAATCGTTGCAAACATGGCGCCCATGTTGAGAACGGGGAGTTTTTTTTCTCTTGTACCTCAGACTTTGTTGGGTCTAACGCGTGTAACCATAATTGAATCAAATCATGTTCATACTGCAAAAGGAACAAGGGATAGCCCCTCGTCTTGATGGAAACCGCTGTATTAACATGCTAGGATATCTTTTTTTCCAAGTCTCAAGATAGAATCTATATACACTTCTGAGGCGCGAACGTGGCATCCATGTGCTTACAAAACACTTCGTATCCTTTGTTAAAGCACAAATAGCGACCGACAATGGGCACAGTTGTGTTTGCTCTGCTCTGATCCGCACTCCCGAATCTGCAATCAGATCACAACGGCATGTCTCATGCCCCGCATATATGTACACGCGTCTAAAACTTGTACACCTGGTCCTTGCTGTAGCCAAGCTCCTTCAGGTAGCCGTCAAGCTCGCCTTGGTCAGACGGGCTCTTCTTGCCACCGCTGATGGCCTTGTACATGCCAGGGGGTCCGCAAACAAACAGCTTGATCTTCTCTCCCTCCTTTGGTTCAGGAAGCACTGTCTTGAGAAGCTCCTTGGTAATATATCCCTTACCGCCTTGCCACGACTCTGGTGGGTTGTCCAAGACGTAGAAGGCCCGGAACCGTTGGGGGTAAGTGTTCTCCAACTCTTCAAACTCGCGCTTGAGCAGAATGTCCTCTTCAGTCACGTTGCCGTATACGAGCGTCACCTTAGTCTTATCCTCAGGGTTGCGGAAAATGGCGCGTGCTGTCTGCCACATGGGGGTGATACCAGTTCCACCCGCAATCAGCGCAATGTGCTCAAACTTGTTGGGTGACCATTGGAATTTTGGAATGGGTCCCTTGATATCCAGTCGCTGCCCAGGCTCCATGCTGTGCATGTGCTCCGACATAGGTCCGTTGGGGTAAGCCTTGATGATGAAATCCACTGTGCCCTTCTGGTCTACGTCGCTGATGGGAGTGTACGGTCGAATGACGGGCTTCTGCATTTCGGGTCCCTTGTACTTGGTGATGACGGCAGCTATACAAAGTCAGTGAGCCTCTACATGTTTGCCGAAAGTGAACATACAAGCTACAGGCAGACCGCTCTCCATGTCCTCCTCAGGCAACTTGAAGGTCAGCTTCTTGGTGTTGTGGTTGACAATCTCAGACTTGTCCAACACAAGCGACAGGAAGCCTTGGTCGCCTCCGGTGAAGGCCTTCTTAGCAGGGCCACCAGTTGAGGAAGGGATCTTGTTGGCCTCCTTTGATGGTGGTGCATTGCCCTTCTGCCCTGATGGTGAATCACCACCCCTCAAGAACAAGTAGGCACCTGCAAGACCAGCAGCACCAATTCCTGTGTAAAGAACGCCATTGTTGCCGCCGCTCTTGGGCGCCTCAGATGCATATCGGCGGACTTGCTGCTCTCACACATTAGTATTTGGCCGAAGACTGAGAGTATTTGTAATGCGCAAATCAAAGAGAAAGCTGGCGCATACCTGGTGCAGCGTCCTGGCCGGGCGGAATACCTGTCTGGCAAACATGGCGAGACGAATTGGTATGGTAAGAGGGGTGAATGAGGAGTAATTGAGGTGCGTGAGGGAAAATGAGACGTTATCGAGGTACTGAGCTTGCGCTCGTGGTGAGCTAATGCCAAGAAAACGTCATCGCTTGCTGACAAGCTGCCGAAGTCCGGACTCAACACCACTCCGGTATCTCCGACCCAGCCACCGGGTATCGTGGGCCATTTTTCCTATGATGATATCAATTGTCTTGGGATATCGATGTTCAAGATGATAGATCTATATAATTCGAGGTGGGTCTGGAGACATCCATACTTACACATCTAGAGGGGCTATATGATTACTGCCGATGTTCACGATGAGATGATCCCGATTCAATGAGCGCCATTGATGTGCGCAAATTCTATGCGAAAGTTAGTATGAAGGGTTTCTCATTTGAGTTGAGCTTGAATTATAGGGAAAGACAGTACGCTAAATTTATGATATCTGAATTAATGGCTCTTGACTATATATGTCATTTGGACAGCATTTCTCTTATTGTTGACGTAATGTTTGTGGCAAGAAGGTAAGACTTCTTCGAACTCACTATCCAGTAAGTATTGTTTGGCGCCAGAAGAGGCTTAGTAATGGAGTGATGCAGAGTCATGGTAGAAACGAAGTCTCGTCACATTTAGTATTCCAATTCCTTCGTTTCAGATACTGTGATGTCAGCAAAATCCTGGTCTATACTTGCTCATCTTCTTGTTTCTCACTTTGTTTACTTGTTGATGAGTCACTTTAGGCTCCGACAAAACATTCGTAATCACATATTACAAGAGGCATTATGTTTACTAGAACACAACTTACCGAGTTTTTGGTATGGAACACGTTCAAGTATAAATAACCCCCATGGTAAACGAAACAGATCAGCAAAACACTTGACGTACTTCAATGCGTAAATCGTCAATTGATTGTGCATTACATGACTATCGTGCTGCTGTAATCGATGTAATTTTAACCTTGTCACTGGACAGTTAGCCCAATGGGATGCCAAACAAACGGAGAGATTTAGAGAAATGTGAAGCTGCAACACTATGCAATAGATTATATCTGCCTACTAGAACTTCCTGGCAGAAACAACTTCCAGCCCACCTCGCTCAGTACCACAGTGCCCCATGTCCCAGTCACTGAAGCCGGAAACATCAACCTGACCGCTCCTGTACACATGAATCGAGTCTTTGATGTCTGGTAAGTCAAGTAGTCGAAAGAGTCTGATAAGATGTGTAACAATTTTGCGAATTTCATCCTAGGTTATGAAGATAGAGATGGGCAAATTGATCTACTCGACCAACATTTCACATAGTATTTCAGCCACACGTCAAGCACAAATGTCAAAAATAAAATAAAATAGCCAGCACTTCATTTCCAACGAGAGGGTGTGGAAGAAATTCCCAGACATCAAACAACCAAACATATGTCAGTATTTTCGGGGCTGTAACTTTAGAAAAACAATTTATACACCGAATGTATTTCTTACGAGCGCACCTGAATTACGCCAATTGCCGTATATCCATGTATACAATATTCGAACCCGAAGCCCCCTTCCAACGAAAAAACGCCATTCATGCTTTAATTTACAACAAACTTGATATTTCAATGTCCTACTCCTCCCGCGACCCAATTCATAAATTCCGGGTCATTAGGGTTGGGAAAAAGACCTTGATCCTGCGGCGGGTCTGCTTGTGCCTGCTGCTGCTGTTGGGGTATCGGTATACCTTGATTCAGCTGCGCTTGCTGTTCCTGCTGCCGTCTTCGTTCTTCTTCCTGTCGGCGCTGTCGTTGTGTTCGGTAGTAGAGAAGGAAGGCCAAAGCTCCGCTCAGAGCCAAGATGATGAGTGACTCGAGTATGTCCGAGTCTACATCATCGCCATGATAACCGTCTCCGTAGAAATCATCGCCCCCATCGTCATAGTCGTCGGGCTCGTAGTCGTCCCAGCCAGCAAGTTCGGCTTCGAGGAATGCGCTAAGCCATTCTGAAAGAGTCCAAGTTTTCTTGACCACTATGACACATCAGTATTGAAGGAATGATAGTTTTACTGGCGAGTCGTGACATACCTGGTTCTTCCTGGATAGACTTGATATTACCATTCGTGAACGTGTTCCACCAACTCCGGAATCTCAATTTGTACAAGGCCAACAGAACGGGCAGATAGGCCTCACGTGGATTTGTCTCCAATGCCAAATCGTAGTGTCGCTTTGCGAGATGGAAGTCTTGGTCGATACCAATCCCGTTTTCATGCATCCAGCCAAGGTTCCACAATGCTTGTGCGCTTCGCATCGTCTCTGCCGCTGCTTGGTAACAAGCCGCTGCCTTCTCTTGATCGGGTTGCGTTCCAATGCCCATGAGGTAGTAGTCTCCCATTTTGACCATGGAGTCGACATTTTTTTGTTCGGCAGAGCGTGTCCAGTAAACCAATGCCAAGAAAGCATCGCTTGCTAGTGTAGCCTTTTGCTTCACAAAGGGCAACAGAGAGTCAAATGTGAATCGCGGTTTGGCCTGATCAAGAAGATAGGCAACATTGGCTTGTCCGACCTCGAAACCTTGTTCAGCTGCCAACATGTAATTGACAAGTGCAGTCTCTAGATCGCCGTTCGCATAGGCTTCGTTGGCTTCCGGGAAAGAAGTCGACACCAGTTCGGCTTTCTCGGCGACGAGCTTGTAGTACGCAGCAGCCACAGGACACGACTTGTCACGGCCGATACCGTTATGCGTCATATCAGCCAGGTAATAGAAGGCTTCAAGATGTCCATGCCTAGCCGCGAGCTCAAAGTACTTGATAGCAGTAGAGACGTCTCCTTGATCCAAGAAGAGTGCTCCAAGCCTGACTTGAGCAATTGCGAGATCCTGATCGGCTGCAGCGCCAAACAGCTCTGCAGCCTTGACAGGATCTTGTGGCACGCCGAGCCCCTTGAGATACATGATGCCCATGGAGTACTGCGATAGCGCATCTCCGAGCTCGATGCCGCGCCTGAACCACGTCTTTGCAATCTCAAAACTCTGAGCCATTCCCTCGCCTCGCAAGAACATTCGACCAAGGTATCCAGCAGCTTTTGCAGCGAGCTTTTCAGTGGTTGGCGAGACATTGGCGTTTATTTTTCCACCCGGCGTCCAGTACATGCGAGCAAGCTCCAGGAATCGCTTCTTGGCAGCTGGAAGGTCGCGCTTTAGAGTTCGTGCACCATCATAGTTTAACTTTGCAAGGTTGAAAGTAGCTCTGGCGTCGCCTTTGCGAGCCTGAAGATCCATGTATTCGAACACATCGTCTAATGAGGAGAAGGCGTCTGATTGAACACTGGCCACTTTGGCGTTGGCTCCGGAACTACTTGCGCTTGCGCCGTCACCGTACACACCACCCTGATCGTCAGCAATGTTGTACGACTCTCTTGGCATCGAATGTCCACCCGGTGGTCCAGATCGCATGTATGCAATAGCCTTTCTGGCGGCTTGTCGGTAAAAGTACACGGCCTCCTCACAATTACGCGGGGTGGATATGCCAGCTGAATGCCTGTATGCGACGGCCATTTCTGACCGTATATCGCCACCTTCAGCGCCGAGGGTGTAGTAGAGAAGCGCCTTGGACTGATCTTGCTTGGCTGCCCCACCTATGCCTGTTGCATGCATGAAGCCAACCATGTGCTGTGCTGAGGCGTTTCCGTTCAGGGTGGCGAGCTCATGGTAGCGTCGAAAGGCTTCGGAGTAGTTGCGCGGGTGTGTGTAGTTGCCGTGAAAATTCATCTCGGCGAGCATGAATAATGCGTCGGGGTTCTTCTCCGCGGCGGCCTCTTCGAGCAGCGTGACGGCTTGGGAGAGCGGCTGCCCTAGTTTCTTCGGTTGCGGATTCGTGGTCAGGAGTTCCTGCTGGGAGGGTCCGTTCATAAAGAGGAGGAAGAAGACTTCTTTGGCGTAGTATGCGCTCGCGCCTAGTATGCCGGATTTCTTGTCAAAGTTCCACCAGGGCGCCGTTGCGGGTTTGATCTGGCGGAGAAGGGCCATGGCCTCGTCAAAGGCTAGGGCTCCCTGGTGCGCATTCACGCCCTCGTCTTCGGTATTTCCCCATCTTGATCTCCAGGCCTCTTTGCTCTGCCCCGGTGAGCCACGGCTGCCTGGTGTTTGCCCTGCACCGAGGGGTTTTTGGTAGGCATGGTCTGCCTCTTGGTCCAAATCGGATCGTGAGTATACGGTCAGACATATCGAAAGAAGAACTGCGTGTCTGGTGGTCAGTCAGAGGCTACCTGTGTCGCATGCGTGCATGCATACCGAGCAGAAGCGGCACGAGCCGCGGAAGGCGTGGCCTCATTGTGGGTATAGGTTGAAAAGAAAGACAGTGGGAAGAAAGAAACTCATCGCGGCATGTCGTCTGACTGGGAGCAGGGGTACGACTACCTGACGCAGTCGTGGTGAAGTCGTCTGTAGAGGCCAGCTTTCCACTATCGACGCTCGGGTGGCAGTCGTGCTCCGCTGCCGCCTCTGGCCAATGAGCGTTGACGTCACCTTAATTACGCACATGTCGCATGGCCAACACGCTGCAATGGTGCCTGGCGCGTCCTTGGCCCCTCTCTCCCTTACACACTCGCCCGTTCATCATCCTTGGGATTCAAGTCGGCCTCACTTTCAGTCCGTCGCACCGAACCGCCGTATTGCTGTCTTTGCGGACGAAAGCCTCAACGCAGGGGCCGGTAATCGACTTGATGCCGTATTTGTAATCCGTTGTGACACTAGCATCCATGCACGCTCGTATGTATCATCATGACTTCGACTTCCAATGCCTTGTTTTCCACAATATCCATATCTTTGTCCCTGTCCATCCTCGCCACCCCCGCCACCCCTTTTTGTTCATGTGAACCATCTTCCTGATCACGCATCATGGCCATCTCAAACGGTTCGACGGACAGAGAGCCCTTGCTGCAACGCTCGACATCTACTTTATCTGCAAGATACGCCAAGAATGACGAATTATACATCTCAACGTCTCGAGGTGCTTTCATCGTTGCATCTGTTGGTCTTCTGATCTTTCTTCAAGGTATGGTTCACCGCCATTGTCACGTTCCCACAGCTGTTATCACGTAAATTTTGTTTCTTCCAAAACCAACACGGCCCTGAATATCCATGGCCGTGCTCTGAATATCCCCTCACGTGACCATCAATGAAAGACGCAGAACAAAAGTTCTAACTACTGTCAGCCACAAATATATCTATCCTTACAACGACACAGTCATCTATCGCTGCAGATCTCGATGCTTTTGAGAATGCTAGCTGGTTCACTTCCTCCTATCTAATTGCCATGTCATCTCTGGCACCTCTCATGGGAAGATTATGCCAAATCTTTAGTCCCCGACTATGCATGTTCTATTCTACAATGACGATATGTATCGGATCTGTCATCACTTCAACATCCATATCATTTGGGCATTTCATTTTAGGTCGTGTCATTACTGGAGTTGGTGGTGGAGGCATCTTCATCGTTGCTAGCATCATGGCAATTCAGATGACCAGTCCAAGGCGAAGGGGTCTATACATGGGCCTTGCTAACACTGCAATGACGGTCGGAGTTTCGCTTGGTGCGGTCATTGCAGGCGCACTCGAACCTAGAATTGGATGGGTAAGTTCTCGGGTTGTATCAGAGGAATTGTTTCGGTTCGACTGACGTGGGAAGAAACCATTATTCGGCGTCCAAGCACCTCTGAGCTTTATTGCAGGCATTTGTCTGTTATTCTCCATACCAGCAACTCACACTTCCAATAACGCCAAATATACTGGCCTCTCAATCCGCGAAAAGCTTGCTCGTATCGATTACTCAGGGGCCGTACTGTTGACCACCACCATTGTCCTCTTTCTCATGGGTTTATCTGGTCCGAAGATACTCCCAACCCCCCTAATCCTATCAGCACTCGCTCTTCCCGTCTTTGTATTCAATGAAGCCTATGTCGCCAGCGACCCTGTCATTCCAGTCTCTGTTTTACGATCCCGAGGAACTCTGCTGACTTGTCTTGCAACGACTGGCTTCATGATGGCTCGCTGGAGCATTCTCTTCTACACCCCAGTATATTCTCTTGCTGTTCGAGGCTGGGCACCTGCTGTGGCTGGGTCGATTCTCATCCCGACAAATGCTGGTTTCGCTTCTGGTGGTCTACTTGCAGGGGTTTTCCACATCAAGAGAACAGGAAGCTTCTATCTTCACACAATAGTCGCTATGGCCTTGTTCCCCGTTACAATGGCTGTCCTTGCATTCATATCGACACCCACCAGCCCGTGGGCTTTGTATGTGACTGTGGTCTTCATTAATGGCCTTGCTACTGGAGCTGCGTTAAACTACGCACTTGTCCATCTTCTCCATCTCACGCTTCCAGAAGTTCATCCGATTGTCATCTCTCTCCTTTCCACTTTCCGCGGCTTTTCGGGTTCGTTTGGCTCGGCAATCGGTGGCGGATACTTTGTACGTGTGCTGCACAAGTCGTTGGACAAAGGTTTCGCGCGTGCCGGACTGAAGAACCGCGGCGAGCTGACGAGGAGGCTTCTGGGAAGCCCAGGGCTGGTGGGCAAACTGGACGGCAAAGACAAAGTTGTTGCCATTGCGGCGTATACAGACGCTATCAAGGCCTTGTTTCTATGTGCTGTGGGACTGTCTGTCGTTGTAATACTTGTACAAGCTGGTACGGGCTGGAAGGAACCGGAGAAATCTGATGAACAAAGAGGGGAGGAGGAAGGCCAAGGAGAGAACAATGTACCTCCTGGTGCTTGAGCATCTTGTAGGTTGTGCACAAGGTTGAAATCCATCATACCCCTTGAGACTTGCTCACCTTGTAAGCACTGTATTTAAATATTTGGAAAGCACAATGAACTTGCCGTTGTCCATTTCCTTGCATCCGACACAAAGGAGCATCCAGTACCTTGCTCAGATTATATCAACTTTGATTTGATTTCGGGCTATTATGCTTAGCCTCGAGTTAGATTGTTATCATGCTCCCCTTCATCATGTCTTCACTGCATCGCCTGACGCAGTCACCCGGAGCAAACAAGAGTGTGTATGCGATTGCCGTATCGTCATATCACGGTTCTATCATCTTCTTCTTGTATCTCCCGGTATATCCCGGCCTTGCGTCGACTGTTTGCTGTTATTTGCGCACAGAGCCCGTGCTCCCACGATGCTTTGCGACTGCCTCTAGACGATATCGCACCGTTCACCTCTGCCTCTCCTTCCCCACTTCACGTTTTTGCAGCGTGTTGTGCCGCGTCACCTCCAGAAAATTGATACCTCGCCGAGTGCTGGTAAAGCATTCCTCAACGATACAATGTAAGTCTACCTCATCGCAGCGCATAGCTCCGTGCCTTCTATTTCAAGATTTGGCATAGGCCCAAGGACAATCGTGCCAACACCGTAAGGTGACAAACAGCTCTACTTGGGACTATTTCTCTACCTGAAAGATGTCGAAATGCCATCTGCTACGTTTCACCTCCTCTTCACTTCACCATCCCTTGCCACCACAGATACATAGCTGACTTTCGACCCAGAGACCCATCATTCTCTTTCTACAACAAATCTCCTCATCATGGCTCGTGGTCCGCCCACCATACCCACAACCATGACTTCCAACCCTTACCCCAAGCCCAAGGAGCATATCCCGCGTCTGACTTACTGCGAGCTCTGCGATCGCACGCTACCCACCAAGGACTGGCAGGCTCACAAGAACTCCAAGAAGCATCGTGAAATCGAGGCTAAAGAGCGTGGCGAGCTCGACGCCGTCAAGAGCTCTACTGACTTCGGTGGCGATTCCATGGGGTTTGATGACAAGAACGAGTTTGCCAACGCCGCTGCTTCGGGTGGTGGCGATTGGGGCGCTGGCGAAGGCTTCACTACCACTACTACTAAGTCTACTAGCTATAACAACAATCGCGCTGGTGGTAGTGGTGGCGGTGGCGGTGATCAACGTGCCTGCTTCGGCTGTGGTGAGACTGGCCATCAGAAGCGCGATTGTCCCAAGGGTTCTGGCGGCCAAGCCTGTCACAACTGCGGTGAGATTGGGTACATTTTTTGATAGCATATGAGAGAGATCATACTAACCCCTAGTCAGTCATCGCAAAGCCGATTGTCCTGAGCCTCCTAAGCCTAGGGGTGGCGGTGCGGGAGGCAGTGACCGTTTGTGCTTCAACTGCAACCAGCCTGGGTACGTTTTCCCTTTATTAATAAGATTGGCATCTCATTCATCTCTTTTACTCAAGTCATTTGCTAACTCTTACCCAGCCACAACAAGTCTGATTGCCCCGAGCCTCGCACTGGTGGAGGAGGAGGCGGCGGCGGCGGCAGCGGACGTGCATGCCACAACTGCGGCGAAGAAGGCCACATATCCCGCGAATGTGACAAGCCTCGTGTTATGAAGTGCCGTAACTGTGACGAAGAGGGCCACTCTGCTCGTGACTGTACCAAGCCGCGCGATTGGTCCCGAGTCAAGTGTCGCAACTGCAACAACTTTGGTCACGGCGAGAAGCGCTGCCCTGAGCCTATTGCTGAGACCACTGGTGGTGACTGGGGCAATGATGCTGCTGCTGCTTCGAGTGGTGGGACTGGTGACTGGGCCAATGCTTCGACGGCGGCAGCGACGACAGGCAACTGGGCTGATGACACTACTGCTGCTGCGGAGAACAACGACTGGGACAATGCGACTGCTTCTTCCATGTGGTAAACCGCTCCCGTGGCCCAGATGCTTGTTAGCGATGAGGAATCAGTTTCGCTCAACATACGCATTTTTCTTTGACGACGGTGGTTGTCATCGTACTGAAGGAAACAGGTTGGTGGATGGAGATGTACCCGAGACTCAGCTGAGTTCGACATTGACGACCATACTAAGATCGGAGTGGGAGGAATCATTTGCGTGTGTCTACCCTTATATGAAGCGTAGCAAGATCACGTACAAAATACGTAGTGGACATGTATGAAGTACTTTTCAAGAGATTAATGAATTCAACAGCATAGTCAAACAGAACAGGATGAAAACATCTATATTCTAATAATGTGACATGAGATTTTTTTCGTAGGCCCATCTCTTATCCTAAGAAACACCCAACCGCAGACTGACAGCTCGTCGATGAGCTTCCAACTCCTCAACACGCGCCAGCTCCATAACAGCAGGACCGACATTTTCGAGACCCTGGCGTGTAAGGTGGGAGCTAGTAATATGCTTGACGTAAGAAGCAAGGTTAACACCGGAGTACTGTTTGGCGTAGCCGTACGTTGCTATTAAAAGGGTTAAATTAGCCACAAGTTCCCTTCCTTCCAAAAAAAGAAGGTTTCGGTATAAAAAAAAGAAAGAAAAAGAAAAGAGAAAAGGGGTGATTAGCGAAAACTTACGCAGAGAATGGTTAACACCAGCAGAGTAGTCACCCACACTTTCGGGGGTCCACTCTCCAATAAACACGCTTCCGGCATTCTCCACCATCTCAGCCACTTTTTCTGCGTTCTCGACTTGCAAGATGAGATGCTCAGGGGCGTACTGGTTACTTAGCTGCATGGCCTCGTCCATGGAGGCGACGGAGAGGGTAAACGAATGCTCGATAGCGCCACGCACGATATCGACGCGTGGCAGAGCGGTAGCTTGCTTGTGGAGCTCATCTTCAATAGCCGTGAGTTGAGCGTCGTTGAGGCCGACGGCGATGAGGATGACTTGGGAGTCGACACCGTGCTCGGCCTGGCTGAGAAGGTCGGAAGCGACGAAGGCTGGGTTTGCGGAAGCATCGACGACGACGAGGACTTCGCTGGGGCCAGCGGGCATGTCAATGCTGACGCCGGCATTTGTGTCGTTGGAGACGTGCATTTTGGCGGCTGTGACGAACTGGTTGCCAGGGCCCAAGATCTTGTCTACCTTTGTCACGCTCTCGGTGCCGTATGCCATTGCTGCTACGGCTTGCGCGCCGCCGGCGAGAACGATGGATTCGGCGCCGACCTTGTGCGCAACGTAGACGACTTCAGGAGTCACTTTGCCGTTTGAGCGTGGTGGCGTGGCGAGAACAATCTTCTTGCAGCCAGCTACCATAGCGGGGACGCCCAGCATGAGCGCTGTAGAGGGAAGCACGGCAGTGCCGCCAGGTACGTACAGGCCTACCCTCTCAATAGGACGTGCGAACCGAGAACATACAATGCCCGGCATGGTTTCGACTCGCAAAGGCTTGTCTTCCTTTTGGGCAGCGTGAAACTTTCTGATGTTTTCAAAAGATACATCAATGGCTTTGGCCGTCTCTGGTGCCAGTTGCATGAGCTCGGGAGGGAATGGCGCCTTGAGCACGGGTGAAGTTAATGATGTTGCCTTTTCGAACTTGTGTGTGTACTCTAGTAAAGCAGCATCGCCGCGCGTCTTGACAGCTTCAATAATAGGTCGGCAGATGCCCAGAATCTTGTCAGTTGAGCGTTGAGATGGGCGTTGCAGCGCAGCAGCAATGGTCTCTGGGGTTTCGTTGGCAGTAACGTAGCGCTTCATGGCGATGCGGCCGTCCTTTGTACCAGCCGGATCGTCTTTGCTCTTAGGAACTGAAGCAGCTTCCTTGACAATCTCTTTGGTGGTTGAGTCGTTTGACGCGCCATTTGTTGCTGCTGCTGCTTGCGCGGCAAAGGCTGGCTTTGCGTCGCCTTGCCGCCTCTTGACTTTGATACTCTTAGCATCAAGGTTACGCTCAACGTCTTCCAGCGATACACCGGCAGCAATGCATTTGGTCAGGGCAAAGTAGAAGAGATCGGCAGCCTCGAATGCGACTTCTTCCTTGGTATTTGCATCGCAGAGCTCAGTAGCTTCCTCGAGTATCTTGGCCCTCAGCAGCTGTGCGTCGTTGAACAGGCGGGCGGTATATGAGCCTTCTGGGGCCGACTCCTTGCGGCTTTGCAGTGTCTTCTGCAGCTTGGACAGGCCGCTGTAGTCGCCGAAGCAAGTGGGTGTTGCAAGGTGGCAGAAGCCCCGGCCCTTTTGGCGAACGATAAACTGCAAACAATCGCTATCGCAGTCCAACGACAATGACACAAGCTCTTGAACGTCGCCGCTGCTCTCGCCCTTGTACCACAGACCCCGCTTTCGGCTCTGGTATACGCCCCGGCCAGTTTTCAGACTCTCAGCTACACTCTCTTCACTGCTGTACACAAGTCCAAGTGCGACGCCCCGCTCGTCAGTCACTAGAGTGGTGAACAAGCCATCGGGTCGGTCGCTTGTCGCGTTGGCCATGAGCAGCTTAGCGACGCTCAATGCGCCAGTCTGTTTCGCGGGATCGACGGTGAGTTTCTCGGCGGCCACGATGGGTACGGCAGGCATGTTTGCGAGCGCAAGCGCCTTCTCGGTATCTGGGTTCGCGAACGAGACAAAAGCGCTCGTCTTGCCGCCATTGAGCGCCGCCTGCACTTGGTCGACATTCTCAACCTGTTCCAAGTAGACAGTGATCTGCGCATTCGAATCGCCATCTGAAGTAGTGTTTCCAGGCAAGCACAGGACTGTCCTGTTCTCGTCGATGTTCAAGGCCTTGAGCTGGTCCAACTGCTGGCGAGTGACAAAGACGTTTGCGGCGCCGGCATCGAGGATGGAAACAACATCGTCAATGGATGTGAGCGAGGATACATGGACATAGTTGGCGAAGCGGCCCACCGACTGCTTTAGGTGGGAGAGGGCATTGTCGACGCTGTCATCGGTGACTCGGAAGAAGACATTTCCAACAAAAGGCAGGGCCAGGACATCAAGACCCTGGGTTTGTTGCTTGTACGTGGCCAGGTCA